AGCATCAACAGCGCGGACATTGGCACCAAGGCCCTGGCACGCGCCAGAATGCGTGGACTCATGTTCATGCTGAACATGGTGGACGAGGACAACCGCGAGATTGGAGAGGACGAGTTCCACGAGATTGAGAGCAAGATGATGGCGGACAAGGGTGCCAAGAAAATCCTGGGCACCTTGAAAGGCGAGTATCGCATGGCTCTGGTGGTGGCTTTTGCCAATTTGGTCGCAGCCAACGGAGCCAAGGAGGAGGAAGAGCCCAATGGAGCGGGAAGTGAAGACTGGAGTTGGATGTTGTTGGCCATTTTGGCCGGCATTGGAGCCTTGAGCCTGGTCAGGTGGCTATGGCTCTCCTTCATCATGTGGATCAAGAAGGAGATCAAGCGGATGCCCGAGAAGGCAACGGCCCGGGACTTTGAAGACAGCGAGCCGGAGGTGAGCGAGGCACGAAGGCCTAAGCAGGCCAGATTCCGGCACAAGACAGTCCGGGTCACGGCGACGGGCACCGTTTTCCATACACACGAAAAGTGCCCCCACTACAAAGGTGGACGGGCGCTTCCACACTGTGCCAAATGCTGTGGGTTTGAAGGCAGCATGTCAGACTAGCATTCAGATTCAGTCACACCCACAGCATGATGCACGGTTGACATTTCATGGAACCGATTGCCATACAGGCTCCAACTTTATTGGAGGTAAAAGAACCGCTGCCCGCTCGACAGTTTTCCATTGCTTGGCCGAACCGAAGCTGGTTTGTTTGTTTTTTGCGTTGCTACTGCTGGGTTTTGCATCATTTTGGCCATTTGAGGCTGCTCTAAGACGGTCTGATTTCCAATCGCTTATGGCTTATCCGAAGGTTTTAAGACCGCGCTCGTTGCTGAAGCCGGGCTGCTTTACACCCCTACCAAGCCAGAAAGATCAGGATTTGGTGTTTCCGCCGCCAACTTGCTCATTGATGTCATTCGCTGCCTCCTTTGTTTTGTGCTCGTCGAGGTCCAAGACCTTCTCCACTGCTTAGCCTTGAGCCAGCTGAGTTCTTTTCGCCTTCTTAGCCGTGCATTTCAATCCCCATAGGTGTCGCAGGGGGAAGATCCCCCTTTGCTAGGGCCCGTGCACAGCACTGCCCAATTTGTATGAATCGCCTCAAACACAAACATGGTTGGTGAGGTCAGTAGAATGTTGATGTGTGAAAGTGGGGCAAGCATTGCCAGCGTGAATTATTTGGGTTGTTTTCGATCCATGCCTGGTTGCTCCAAGAGCTGTGCGGGTTGACAACAGGACCCGCTTTGAAGCCAAAACTCACATTTCAAGTAGTAGTTCGCAGCAGTGCTGAACACCGCGAGCACGGCCAGACGTGTCTTTCACAAAGGTTTTCATCTAAATCAAACCATGCGAAATAATTTGCCAGTTTTCAAGAGCAAGCCCAAGCCTTTGTCAGCATGCTGCGCTTGCCATTGACGGCAGTAGAAAAGAAGTAGCATTTGTTTTTCATTGTACCCCCCCAGTACGTCAGGTTGTCCAAAGGAATCTCCTAATGCGTCCCTTTCGAGCTTGAATCCACAGAGGCATCGAAGACATGCCCTACCTCAAAAACGGGTCTGTTTTCCCTCCGCCAGCTAGCACAAATTATGCATACTATTCCATATCTGAAGCTGTGATCGCTTGGATCAGGACGGAATTTATTTGTCAACTTCGCAGCGAGTTGCTTTCAAGCACAACATGGGTGAGACTGACCGCACAGATCTCAGAAAAAGCAGAGTACACTTGTTTATGTTTATCAAACGCAGCGAAGTTGCAAAGTGGAGGTTCACATTGTTGGGTTTGCGTGGTACATTGTTTGTCCTCTATCGCTGACATGGCCGCAATCTTAGCGGAACAATTCTTCCCCTCAGCGCATTGCCCAGTTGTCCAGGTGATCTGGGGCATCTAATGCCAATTTGGGTTGTGTTTGAAGCGGCGGACTCAGTTGGGAGGATTTGCACGTATTTGTTTGGATTACACATTGACCTCATTGACCTTTGTGAGGTGAAATGTCCCACCGTGAACTTGGAAGATGTGCGCGTTGTGGGATCCGTGCCCGAACTTGGCTCGTGGCGCTTTGGTTGCAATGTCTGTCATTTGCTTGTGAGACATAGCGTTTCCATTTCCATGCTATGCAATGCAGGGAACCATCGAGAGCGTTGCCACTTGTGTCCACGGAACGCACCTACCCATCGTGGGGTGCCCAGCTACAGAAAGGCACAATGCAATGCCAACATCTTTCCGAGGTGGCGCAGCGTTGAAATTGCACTGCCCAGCCAAGGAGCAGAGGCAGCAGCTCAAAAGTGTGTCAGTGGCAATGCAGCTGTTCCATGTTCCAGGTGGTGCAGTACAAGTACATCAAGGTTCACAAACCGTTTCTTGAGTGCGAGTTGGGCGGCAAATCGGACTTGTAGGTCTTTGACGGGTCCTTGGTGCAATGGGAGGTGCTCGTCGCACAGCCGCGTCCGAGGGAAGTGAGACGAAGAGTCTAAGAGTCTTGCTGGTGCTCAGCAGGGAATGAGGGAATGACTCCGGGAATGACCCCTTCTGAACCATCACTTGTGGGGCCTTTCAGGGAATCTCTGCATTCCCACCTTCCCTACCCATCGCACCAGCAAGGAGTTTTCCTGAGTGCGGTTTGGCATAGTTGGACTTGGATGCAAGCTTCCGCATTTGCTTTGTCAGGCGGGGCCAAATCGTTTCCTGGACCTCAGCTGCCTTTTGGAGAGGATGGCCTTGCCCTAGAAACTCCATTTGCACGGTTGGCGCCTCGGGTTTGTTTCAGGTCAACTACGTAGACGACTTGACGTTTGATCTCAAAGACAATGCGTGAAACTCGGCTTGCATGTCGCCGCCTTGTGAAGACTTTGCTTGGGCTTTGGCGGCCCTGCTGATTGGATGTCACATCCCTGCAGAAACAACTCGGCTTCAGGTTCCAAGGCGAAGCGGGTTCGCATCCCAGTTGGACATCACGTATGGCCCATTCATTGGCTCTCAGACTCCCAGGAATCGAATTCGCTTTCAAGAGACCTTCAAGAGCGCGGTCACGGTGCGGCAAATGTTCGGCTGACACACAAGCATGCCTTCTGTCAACCTTCACTCTTGCCAGTCAGTCACAACGAGCCGCTTTGCTAGCAGCGTGCCTTCCCCACTTCGAGCCAGCTGCAATCTGAGAATTCGCAGCTCCAAGCATGCAGCGTATCGCCTTGAAACCAACAGCAGCACCTGCATGCCCTTCATTTGCTGCGTTTGCAAAGGTCAAACCCCTGTGGAGAAGACGCCGAGTTGTTCAGAGCGTCGAACTTACAACAGCCAGCGGTCCGACTGTTGACTTACCCTGTGTCGAACATCTTGCAGGGCTATCCACCTGCATGATGTTGAGCACCATGCCTGCCCAGCCTGCCCAGCCTGCCCAGCCAAGCCCAGCCAAGGGAGCTAGACAACATCTTGCGTGAGCTCACGGAGTTGCAGCACATGAGTCTTGCTTTGCATTGAGCTTTGAATTTGTTTCGGCACTCTGAAATAGGATATGAAATGCAGCTTTGCTGTTGCTGAGGAACTTGAGCAGCAGACCGGAGCTCAGGCCAGCATTGTCGAGGAATGTAGTTTGCAAGATTGAAACAGGTCAGGGGAGTAGGTCGAGGGGATGCAGCTCGGCTCGTTCGCTTGGCGTGCGGGTCCAGGCGGGCCGTCCAGGCAGTGCAAGCAGCCATCGAGGCTGCGCCCCCGCAATTAGTTTAAGCATCAGCACTTTTTGGCCAATTTGATGTGAGTTTCCCACAAAGGTGGAGCGAAGTGGCGGACGACGGAAAGAGCATCGGCCAGTGACTTGCGCCATGGTTGCTCTTCTGATGGTCGCAGCCTTGGCCGGTTAGAAAAAAACATCCCGTTGTCTGTTTTTGGAGAAAAACACGTCGGTCGATTCGTGGCTTTCGCCTCGCAATGGGGAACAGAAAGCCTGAAAAGAGATCCTCACCTGGCTTTGATGTCAACGTGGACGTAAGGTCCCACTCATGCCTCTACTTGTCACTGCGCTTCTTGTCGCGCAGCACGGCCGGCCTGTTTTGAGAGTCGAGGCTTGAAGGTGTTCTGTTTTCTAGCACTAGGAAAGAGCTACTGTTTGGCGTGCACAGGAAGAAAACACATGCTTGAAGGCCAATTAGTTGAAGCCTGGCGTATTTGAATCCGAGAGGCTACAACCAGCGCGTGCGCGCTACAATTCTTTCATGGCTCTGGCGACAGAGGCGTTCAAGCGGCCCCTACGAAGGCATGGGTGGAACATGTTCTCAATTTCTTTCAGAAATCGAGTTTTGTCATATGGAAGCGGAGGCTTTTGGAGCCTGATTGTGGATCTCGGGCCGGGATGGCAGCTAGCCCAGTGGCTTGGTATGTTGGGAGGCAGATGGTAGCTTGGCAATGAGGTGCCCTGGATGCAGAGCTCCGCCCGCGGTTCCTTGGCAATGCGGGCAGACAGGCGATATGCAGGGCATTCTGCAAGATTGCTTCTTGAATGCGAGCGCTATGCAGGTGCCTTCCTTCGTCTCGGAGGCGTCTGAGATGAACGTCTCTTCTTTTCACGATGCAGCGCTAGAACCTCTGAGAGGCCCAGCGCAATTTCAATACTTTTAAGCCGTGCAGTGCTAGAAGCTTGGCTGAGCAGCCGCGCACAGCAGATTAAATGTATCATGCATGGCAAAAAGCTGCGTGCCGCGTCCGTCTCGCGTTGTGTGCATGGGACGAAGCAATTCCAGGTGTCCCTCGTTTGAGCACCTTGACCAAGTGCTCGTCAGTTGCAGCATTATACCGATGCATTCTGACCGCCTGCATTCTGAGGACATATTTTGCCAACAGCCCGTCATATCAAAAGCATAGGCATTTGGCCACAATGGGGCTGCTCGCAGCTGAGCGCAGGAAGTCAATCAGACTACTTTTGCAGGCACACCTTGTACTGCACAGCACTTTTATCACAGGCATTGCAAGCCTCTAGCCTAGTCTGACACGCGAGAGGTTGGATGCTTCGCGATGGCTGGAAGGATGGAGCTGGCCCAATGCAGCCCATCCAGATCCTGCAGCCAGACTCGGATGGATATCTAGCGACTGCGCTGGAGCGCCTCCTTGACAGGCTTTTGCCCATAGCGTTGGAGTGTGGAGATGTTCATTCCAGACCGCGATCCAGACAGCGGTTCAAGGCAGTTGTGCGAAAAGTCATCCAAGCCCGGCAAAGAGTCGCGTGCCTTCGTGGGGTGGTCAATACCTTGCTGGCACCGCGAATCCGGGATATGGACGCGCAGCTTGAGGAGATTGCAACCAGCAGCATGGGCTGAATACCAGGTTTGCACAACACCACGTAAAAAAGGTGTGAACATTTTGCAATCTGCTCACATGTTCTCTCACAACAATGCTCATCACCAAGGCAAGAAGTTGCGCCAAGAGAATGTGAAACGCTTCCTGGAAAACTATCGGCAGCCCCAGCTCTCAAGAGAGGCGCATATGTTGGTCAGAGTCATGTGCGAGGGTGACATGTCGCTGAGCCTTTTTGCACAGGTGCCTGTTGGTCAAGTGACGGAAGACATGACCACCAAGCCGCTGCTGGAGACGCAGTGTCGTTTCTGGCAGGTGGCTGACAAAGCCGCTGGCAAGGTGGGCGTGACAGTGCCTGATTGCTTTGGTTGGCACTTGAAAAAGGGAACACTCGGTTCTGAGTTCTGAGATTGGGATTCTGCTTCGGACAGGTGCCAGAATGCAGGGGTGAACCACGGCAGAGTGACAGCAAGCAGTCGTGGATTGCGCGGGGGGCACGCGAGCGTCGGCCACAGCGCTGGGGCTTAGCGGAGAGGCTTCGGCGGCCGGAGCCAGCGGTCTCCCAGTGGGACGTGATGTCGTCCGGGCTGAAGCATTTCTCCGCAGCTCAAAAGGTGCAGAAGGTGGAGCTGGGATTGACAAAGTCGACGTCGCTGCCTTCGCTGCACTCCAAGCACGGAGGCTTCGGGAAAGTGGATGAGACCTGCGAGACCTGCGATGAGGCTCCTATGGCAACCACCTTTACTGACTCCTGGAAGGCCAAGCAGAAGTCGGGTGGTTCCATGTCGCGGTACATGACCGCCTGCGAGCGGGGGAACATTCTCCCAAAGCCTTTGGACTTCATCGCCTCTGGCTCCGCCAGCCTAAATGCCGCCAACTGGGGCCTGGCAGATAGCGACCTCATCCCGGTGGTCACGATGTTCCGGTCCGCGTCCTTTGTGCAGGAGGTGGACCTCAGCGCCAACACGCTGCTCACAGACAAGAGTCTGGTGCCGTTGCTGCAGAAGATGATGAGGAACGCCGCGTGCCAAGGCATGGCGCGGCTGAAGTTGCGGCAGTGCTGGCGCCTGGGGGCGCCGGCAGTGGAGGCGGTGATCGGGCTGCTGAGCAGCTGCTGGGGGCTCACTGGGCTCAAGCTGCTGGACTTCAGCGGCGTCCTCATCCCCGTCCGCCTGCAGCTGGACTTTTGCGAGGCGCCGCTTGATTGGAGCACCGGGCTCTTGCAGGTGTTCGGCTTTTGGATCTTAGCGTAGCTTACTCCGGGGCCACATGTAGTCCCTTTAGCACTATTTGCCTTGGATTCCCCACGCCACTGTGTGGGGTCATTACTTTTTTACTGCGTGGTCCGTGCCGCCTTTCTTCTGTCCTTCCTTCCTTCCTTCCTTCCCTCCCTCCCCTCCCCGTCCCTCCCCTCCCCTCCCTCCCTTCCCTCCCCTCCCCTCCCCTGCCCTCCCCTCCCCTCCACTTCCCTTCCCTTCGCTTCGCTTCTCTTCTCTTCCCTTCCCTTCCCTTCCCTTCCCTTCCCTTCCCTTCCCTTCCCTTCGCTTCGCTTCGCTTCGCTTCCCTTCCCTCCACACTCCACTCCGCTCGACACTCCAGTCCAGTCCAGTCCAGTCCATTCCACTCCACTCCACTCCACTCCACTTCACTCCACTCCACTTGACACTCCACACTCCACACTCCACACTCCACACTCCACACTCCACACTCTGCACTGCACTCCACTCCACTGCACTCCACACTCCACTCCACACTCCACTCCACTCGACACAGCAGTCGAGTCCAGTCCAGTCCAGTCCAGTCCATTCCACTCCACTCCACTCCACTCCACTCCACTCCACTCCACTCCACTCTACTTGACACACCACACTCCACACTCCACACTCCACACTCCACACTCCACACTCCACACTCCACACTCCACACTCCACACTCCACACTCGACACTCCACACTCCACACTCCACACTCCACACTCCGCACTCCGCACTCCGCACTCCGCACTCCACTCCCACTCCACTCCACTCCGCTCCACTCCACTCCACACCACTTCACTCCACTTAACTTGACACTCCACACTCCACACTCCACACTCCACACTCCACACTCCACACTCCACACTCCACACTCCACACTCCACACTCCACACTCCACACTCCACACTCCACCTCCGCACTCCGCACTCCGCACTCCGCACTCCGCACTCCACTCCACTCCACACTTCACTCCACTCGACACTCCAGTGCAGTCCAGTCCAGTCCAGTCCAGTCCAGTCCAGTCCAGTCCAGTCCACTCCACTCCACTCCACTCCACTCCACTCCACTCCACTCCACTCCACTCCACTCCACTCCACTCCACTCCACTCCACTCCACTTAACTTGACACTCCACACTCCACACTCCACACTCCACACTCCACACTCCACACTCCACTCCACACTCCACTCGACACTCCACTCCTCGACACTCCACACTTCACTCCACTCGACACTCCAGTCGAGTCCAGTCCACTCCACTCCACTTCACTCCACTCCGCGTATCAATGCGCCTTTCGGGGTTCAGGATTCGAATCCCTATTGTCGCCTGAGCGCCTTCTTGGCCAAGGATAGGAGAGCACCCAAACCTTACCAGCGTCAAGCTGGCAGACACGGGCCTGGGAAGCAATCCTGCCGCCCGCAGCTGTTTGGAGGCTGGTGCAAAGCGGAAGGTGCCAAGTTGCCGTTGATTTCGGCGCGTCGGTTCTTGAACATTTGACTTAAGCTTCCGACCTTTTGATAGTCTTCATATTCCAAGGCGCGGGCAATCATCGTTTCTGACAGCTGTTTGGGCACGGCAGAAACTTGTGGCTAACGGTTTAACGCCATGCGCCTTTGAGAGGCACTGTTCCGCTGCAACACTCTGACAGCCCTGGATCTCAGCTGGAATGCCTTCAAGGACGAGGTCTTTGTCGCTATAGGTGCGGATCAACGCTTGGGGTTGGACATAGCATACAGCGAAGAGCCTTCATGAGTCGGAGCCAGTCAATTTTGGGGAGTCAATGCCTATGCTCTCCGTGAGGTTCGTTCGTGGCAGCGTCCCACGTACATCTCCAGTCCCTGGCAATGTCAAACTGCTCCTCCGCAAATCTCAGCCTGTCCAGCGAGCAAGTGCAGCCTGCCAACTTGATGCTTGAGCGACTGGGGCAAGCCCAGCGCTTGAGTTACCTGGACGTGTCCATGAATCGCCTGGATCTTTCAGGCTTGATCACTAAGATATGTCTGGTCAGGGTTGCTCTTAAAATCGCAAGCCCGGATTTGCCCTTCCTTGCAGTCAGGAGCGCTGGTGCTGGAGGATGCATTGGGACGGCACCCCACTCTCACTGAGCTGGATGTGTCCCGCAACTCTTTCAGTAAGTTGGGTGCTCACTCTCTGCTGAGGCAGGATGCAACTGAGTGCGAAGCTCTGTGAGAGGTGCCCAACAATGGGCGCCGGCCAGGCTCTTTGCGTCCTCACGCCTGGAACGCCTGCACTGTGCGGAGAGCTTTGACATGGGCACCAGTGGGCGCTTTTTCCAGCTCTGCAACCCAGAGGACCCGGGAGCAGAGTATCAAAGCTATGGCTGCTCGTATTTGTGGCTATGGCTTGAGTGACATGTTGCAGCTTGGATTCAACTCGCGCGCAGGGCGAGTACTCGCTGAACTTGTCCCTGCCGCACCACCGCAGCATTTTGCGCATGCTTCTGAAGCTCTGCAAGAGGCGAGCCATGTGCTTGCCATCATACATGCTGCTTCCAGTCACAGTTCTTGCAATGGCCCCCTGACCATCCCAGTCAGGAATCGGGAGGGATGGGTTGGACCGACATGTCCGGCATGCAACGAAGGCTCCGCCTCACCGTGAAGCAGGCCTTCATTGACATGCAGCCTCTCCTGACCTTGCCGGACCAGGCGCTGCGCAAAGCATCGGATGTCTCGGATTTCATTCATCCGACTGTGCATGTCTTTTTCTTCATTGCAGACCTGCACCCTCTTGTGATGCAAGCCCTATCCTCGAGACAAAAGTGGCCTTCGGCTGGAAATCCTTGATCCGACTGTGCATTGCCCTTGCGCCTGGTCTCTCAGGAGGAGGATGGCGTCTTCCGTGTGCCGAGCTCTGGAAGAGTCAGCTTCACCTTCAGCAGCACCAGAGCTGCTGGGCCAGACGTCTACGAGGACGGGATATTTTTTTTTCCTGCTCTTTGATGCTCTTTGCGTGGGCTGAAGCCGCAGGAGCCAGCACGACTCGATGCAGCGCAGCTGTGGCAGACACTGGTTTGCTGATGTTTGGCTGTCGTCAAAACCATTGGTACCATTTTTGGGAAGGTGCACCACCCATAGAACCTATTGTGGTTGGATTGGGATGTTCCCGGGCTAACCGATTTGGATTTTGACCTGGCCATGTTTGGCTGCGCTTGCTGAAGCCAAATTTGCTTCAGAACTTCAGGCTGCAAGACCGGCTGGAGCTGTGCAGAGTGCAACTGCGCGTGGACAAGGCGGTGCTTTAGCCTCAGGCTCGCGCGGTTCCACGCCGCTCTTGTGACAGTACATTCTAGTCTGGGGGGTGGGCGATGTGAACGGCTGAAGTTTGGAGCAAATGTTTCGGCGGGTGATTCTGGCCAGATTGAACCGGGGCCTTTTTTTCAGGGCCCAAAATTCAGGGCATTGCTTTTCAGTGTTTCCAAGCGCAGCGCGACCTTGGCTTCGCAAGTCCAGATTCGGGATTCGCCCGTGGTTCACCCATTCACCCTGAAAGGTTTGGACTTGCCTTGCCGTTTCGATTTTCACGGCATGCAACCATCATGCCTTGGATGAACTATGTAAGTGCCGTCAGGCTTTTGGACACTGAAGTAATTCATTTGTGAAAATGAGCAAAGGGAATTTAGATTTGCGAACAATAGCAAATAGCGATATAGGACTCATGAACATCCTGATTGAATACGTTTGTGAGAATACAAGTGCGAAAGCTGGCAAAACTTAGCAAACATTCGCAACAAGATCACACAATTCACGGGAATTACAAACACACATAGCAAACAATGCAAACAATAGCCAAGATCAGCAAACATTAGTGAACAATTTGGCAACAAGTATAGCAACCATCAGCAACACTTTGCAAAACATAGCAAACCATGGCAAATGGAGTAGCACATATGAGCAACACCTGCAAATGAAATTAGCAACACTTTGCAAACCATAGCAAACAACATTAGAAACAAGTAGCAACAATTAGCAGCAATTGGCAAACACCGAGCACACATTTGCAAACATTTGCAAACATTCGCAAGCAAGGTGAACATCTGCAACCGGACATAGCTCTAAAACGGCTTGCCAATTTAGTCGCAACAAATACTATGTTTGCCAACTCATTTCACAAACCGGAAGCAGTCACATTGTTGTTTCGCTGTTTGTTTACAACCATACCTGATCGCCCCGCTTGAACCCGACACCCGTAATCAAAAGCAACATCTTTGTGTGTGTGTGTGTGGACATAACAAGCTGCAGCTGAGGTTGATGATCCCAATTTTCGAATCACTCCAGGACCTTGGCCTCGCTGAAGCTGTAAACACACTTGACTTGCATCTGCCAGGACAAGCTTCCACTGATTGACGCACTGGCAAAGGCCAGCATGAGACCGATTCCCGAGCGACCTGCGTCTCTTGCAGAACTTCATCCTCAGCTATGCGCATGTGGAGATGTTGTGCCGTTGCCTCGGGCGAGAGATTTGACGATGTTTGACATGCTTCACCTTTCCTACTAAACGCAAACTCGCAGAAGCCGGCGTGCTTGATTTTGTCCGTACTAAGGCAGTCTGGGCAAATCAATGCTTGCCCCCACAGTGATCCTCAGGTGGGTTTGTGCGCAAATGCAAGTCGAGAAGGGCTTCTGCAGGCTGCTCCACACGACGGCAGCTTCGAAACTTTGCCGTGCCTTGACAAATCATTTTTTGGGGCAGAAACTGAGATCTATCAACGAGATGGCAGGCTACATGTGCCTCTTGCTGGCCGGTTCCAAGGACCGCCACCGAAATCGATGGCTTTCTCTTGGCATCTTTTGCGTCTGCAAATGCTCAGCAGGTACCCAACAAAGCACGGCAAAAATATGCGGTTGCAGGTAGCATGAGAAATGAGGTCGAGCTTATAGCAACACATCTTAGTTGGATTGTTTCGACTGAGTCTCTGGGAAGTAATTCATGGTGCAACAAAGAGTACTGACAAGTTTGCAGGCGCAGTACATTCAGATTCAGAAGCGTGCGCAGAGGGCTTATGCCATATTGGCTGTACTTGACCGCTGTACACATTTGCTGGCCTTGTGTGGTGAATGGGGGGGTGCGTGCAATAGAGCTGCATAGACTCAGGAGGCTATCCTTGACCTTCACCCCGAGCAATCCTTCGATGCACTACCTGCTGATCTTGTCCGAAGCTTGTGACTTCCACCTCGCAGGAGCCTCACCCGTCAGCCTTCAAGCTGACAGTTTTTCGGTGTGTGGGGCAATATTCAACCACCAGGAATTGGACCGCATATTTTAGTCTTTTCCAGTTACCAGGGCAAGCCTAATTTTGAGAACCACAGCCAGTTGGCCTTCGCCGGTTTTGGTTGCTTTCGTTCGCTGGAGGCTGAGAGCATCCGCATCCTGGACCGATGGGAATCCAACTGCGCCACCCGCGGCTGGGCTCAGCGGCAGTTTTTGGCTCCCGAGTTGGAAACAAATGCCAAGGCTGTGGGCTTGTGGACAACTCCCAGAGCGGGAATCAGTCACAGGCCTCGAGCTTGAGAGGTGGTCAAAACCGTTTTGGCATCCCATCTTGGTGAGAATTCACCGCCCATTTTTGGATTGGGATGTTCACCGGTGCGGATTTTGACCCACCAGGTTTCGTCCGTTGTCGATTCAGGTCCGCAATGAGCTCTACGAGGGTCGCAAGCCTTGCTTCAGGTCTCTGGGCGACTGGGAGCTGCCCCTGCCGCGGCCTCCGTTCCAGCGAGTCGGCTTCGGCGCGAAAGCCCCGAGGCAGGGGCGACTGGAGCCCTGAGCTGAGCGGGAGTGGATTGAGGAATGAGAGGTGTGCAAGAAGGTTGGACCGGTTTTCGCAACCGGAGCTGATCAAGGGTTGAGACGAACTTCCAATGTGCCTTGGAAAGTGAACTGACATGTAGTTTAGTACTGCCATGATGCACAACAAGACCAGAATGCTGGTGATGCTCTTGATGTTGGTGATGCCGATGTTCGGCGTTGTTTGACTATCAGCTGTTTTTGTTTTTCTCTCCGGGCTCCCGTCTTTGTTTTTGCCCCAGCAGCCGAGCATCTCCAGCATCCCCAGCAGCATCTTCAGCATCTCCAGCATCTCCAGCATCTCCAGCATCACCAGCATCTCCAGCATCTCCAGCATCTCCGGCATCACCAGCAACACCAGCAACGCCATCACCCGCACCACGAACACGCCCACTATATCACCCAAAACAGACGCAAAGCTGCCAACATTACCCCCCTGAACAGCCGCAAAGACTTTCATGACTCCTTCCAAAGACAAAGATCCCCAACGATATCCTCCCAAGGCAACTGCAAAGATAGCCCCCAACACACCCCTTGCAGACATCATTTGGAAGACTTCCCCCGCACATCCCCGAAGACATATCCCAAGACATCGAAGACATTTCCCAAAACAACCGCACCCGCAAAGACATTCCTGAAGCGAAGGAAAGACATCCCCGAAGCGAAGGAATCCCGCGAAGGCATCCCCCCCAAAACAGCCTCCAAAGTGATTCCCAAAGACATCAGCCAAGACAACCGCAAAGACATCACCAAAGAACCCCAACGATCTCCACAGGCAACCACGAAGACATCCCTGCAGAGACCCCAAACTCAAACCCCTAACCGTGAAGACACCCCCAAGGAAGGAAGCACAAAAAGGAAGGAAGCAAAGAGAACGATTGCCAAAGACAATCGCACAGACATCCGCAAAACAGACCCGCCCTAAATACCCACCCAAGACAGCTGCGAAAACGTCCCTAAACAAAGCCCCCAGATATCCCGCAAAAACAATCTTTCCAAAGACAACCCCGAATAACCGCCCTCGGAGGCCTGCAAAATAAACGCAATGACATCCCCAAAGAAACCACCACAGATATCTCCCCAAAACAGCCGCGAAGTCACCCCCAAGACATCACCCAGTGCAAAGACAAGGCCGAAATCCCCCCAAAGGCAGATGCAAAAGTCCACACAGGCATGCTTTGACACCCCTTTGAAGACTTCCCCTGACCCCTTCCGAAGACATCAAGTCATCCCCCGTGAAATTCAATCTTCAAGCTCTAAAGCCCAGTACCTGTCACACAAAGTGAGCGGGAAATCCAACTTTGACAGGTTTACGGCACTCATCCAAAACTAGCACGGGACTATGGCGCCAAAATGTTTTCGACCGATTTTGATGCACCGTGCCTGCGCAGCGAAACGACATTTCGTGGGAATGCCAACGTCACGGCAACTGTTGGCACGTGGACGCTTGCGAACGCCTGTGAACGCTTGCAAACACACCCGCCTGTTGAACAACGGGGAACCCTTCGGGAGCAGATCCTGACTTGCATCTCCACCCCGTGCTGGGCCTGAGCAGTTTTTACCATGTGCCTGTCCCCGTTTCAGGTTCGACTTCGCGGGAGGTCCGCGACCACGTCCAGGCCACAACAGCCAAGTCTGCGAACTGTGAACTCGCAGTTGCTGTTCAAAGTAGGGATGCTAAGTTGGAGTTTGGCGAGCTGGCAATGGACACGCGCAAAAAACACAATTGGTCAGTTTTTTGTGCAGGCACAGAACCAGCACCTGCCGGTTCCTTCAATAAACTCTTCGAGGTAGTGCCAGGCTCTTATATCAGCCTTGGGTGTCTTTGTTTTGCCAGTGAACTCTGCAATTTGCAATGCTGAAAACCAATCCGAGGCTTCACTCCGGTTGCAAACCGAAGCAGCAGTGCTCGCCTTTTGGCTTCTCTTGCCCGCACAGATTTTGCCCCCACCTTAGGCTCCAAGCGCTCCGCGCAGTGTCCCCCTACATCTACGTCTCCTCTTCCCAGTTGCGAGCGTCTGCTGCTCAGAGCTGTTCCCAGCTTCGACAGTTTCCAGCTGTGTCCCTGTCAATGCCCAGTTTTCCAGGCTACTGGGGAGCGTATGTGTTCCGCAGGCGCCGCCTGGGTTGCCGGGTTGCCGGAACAAGTTTGGGATGGGGCAAGTGCCAGGACACGAAAGACAAGAAAGACGCCGCAGAGACTGCCAAAGAGGCCTAGCACTCACAGCGGACATGTCCAAAGATGAAGCGTATCAGCTGTTTTCAGCCTTCTGCTGATTGCCCGACATTTCAGCCGCCTTTCCGGTGCGTCTTCTCATGCGCTACATGTTGCCAGGTTCGCCTCCAGCTCTTCCACATCTTTTACTACCGGCTTGCTGGGCAAGTATTCGGATGTGTATTCGGGATGTGCAGTGGCCAGTTGCCAGGCTTACAGACATATGGAATGTCAAAGTCTGCAAGGCACGCTTTTCGAGCCCCGGGCTTGGCACGTGTTGCAAGGATTGGGTTGGGATGAGCGAGCGGCCAAGGCGAGGAGTACACAAGCTTAACGCAGCGGCCACAGTGGATTTCGTGTGAAACTGAACGGTGGGACGTGCCCAGGACCCGACTGGGCCCTGTGAAGTTTTTGCCCTTCGTCCAGCCAGAGCAGGCACGCCGGAACGGGGGGGACGCTTCGGGCCTTGAGCTTGGCCAGGCGTTGCTCGAGTTGGACTTTGCCATCCACGACCACAAGCTGGCAGTGAGCATCTTCGTGATGCCCCGGGCTGAGCCGGGCCCAATCAATGCGTGAGAGCCCTTCGATTCGATGCACGAGGCTCTGCCAGAAGGAGGGCGCTCTTTTCCAGGAGCCCAGGTTCATCCGAGAGGCCCGGCTCACGGCCGGCCAGAGGGCAGATGGCCAGCTGCGTAGATCAGGACGGGACGGAGGACAAGCTGGTGACAGGCGGAAGCAGAGACTCAAACGAACAAATGAATCTTGTGTAGCCTTCACGAGTGTCAGGTGTTCCCAGGGCCTGGGCGCGATACTCCGACTGTCCCAAGGTGAGTTTGGATTGTGGTTAAGTGAATACAGGCGATTGGTTTCCTTGGGAACTTGGAAGGCAGGATTCCTTTTCGATGTCAATTTGGCATCTTGAGGGAAACAACCGCTTGAGGTTTTGGGAAGGGTCAAGCGTAAGGTACGCTTCAAGGGAAAGGGTTGCCGCTCTTTGCATTTCAGGCGGGTTTCTTCCGGGCCAAATATGCCGTCGCCCCAGAGGCGGGTTTGACTGTGAACCGGCCTCAACTTGTTTTGCCGGGATGCAGAAGCGCAGCGTGAAGACTCGCACGGAGTTCCTGGCCACCTACGGGTCAGGGCCCTGCGTGTGTGTCAGAGGGGTATGTAAATGTGCCAAAGCGACGAACCTCATCAACTTGTTCTTTTGGGTCTGTCAAATAGTGTCCCGGTGAGGTGTCTAGGTTTTGAGACGCAGCCAACGAGAGCATGGCTTTGCATTATCCCTCAGTTTCCCAAGAAGCGGATAGTTGACACAAAGTGCAGAAGGCCGGGGGAAAAACACAAACACAATGGTGGTGACAAATTGTGAGTGCGCTTCGCGAGCCCGGCTTTTGGAGCTGAAGCGAGATGTTCCAACCTTAGCTCGGCGGGTGCAAGGCGCTGGAGAGCCCCGGCTTTGGCGAAGGAGGCCGGAGGGTTTTTTGGTTCCGTGCTTTTCGGGCTCGTTTCTTTTGGCGCTCCGAGGACATATGTTGGTGGTCACAGCTCTCTGATGTAAGCCTGGACGTCATCCGCTTCCTTGAGGTGCCAGTTGGAGGGCCAATGGTCTCAAAATTTCTTATTGGAGTTTGTTTTTCTTAGGCTATGAGCACCCGTTCTTGTTTCCTCAGGTCATATGTGAGAAGTATCCCGACCTGAAGGAGGCTCGAGCGGTGCGCAGGGATGGCAGATCTGGGCCGATCCGGGAGGCGTTCCGGGACATTGACGGCGAAGGTGGCAACGGCCCGGGGCCGAGCGCAGAGCCGAACGGAGTGCCCCGTGCCAACTCGCAGGCGGAATCTCCATTCTCGAGTTCGAGGAATACTGCGAGAGGCCAGCTGCACGTGGGAAGCCAAAAGGAAGACATTCTGGGGGGTCTAACCTTAAAACAGACACACTACCCATTTGAGCGTTGGCCGGAGGGTGGTGGACTCCCGATTCAGCAAGAATCGCAGGGATCGCCAATTGGCCAAAAGTTTAAAGTTTGGCCGCACTTTGAGTGGGAGAGTGTCTCGCTTAGGCTTTCGTGCCATTTTCCGTTTCCTGGATGCCACGATGGAAGGAAATATCTCCATGGAGGAGAAGCGTGCACAAAATACATGTATATATATATATATAATATTTACACATACATAATTTGCCTCTTTCCCATTCTCCCACAGGAGTGGGGACTGCTGGATACGGTGAAGTGCGAACTGGACAGACAGGCCATGGCTGAATCACAGCCTGAGACAAAGCCACCACCTGCCAGACGCACGATCTCCATGCGTTCCTCCTCCATCGCTTCAAGGGGGGTCTGGAGCAGGTGGGGACCTGGGGGTGGGAAGTTGGAAACAGTTGCAATCTGACAGACATTTGGCTGTGCCTTGAGGTTGGACCCCCCAAATTGGTGGTGTGCCTTTTGGTGTTCCTTCTTCACCACCACCATCTTGCGCGCGCGCGTTTGGTAGGCGTGGGATGCCTGGGCCACGAGTCGTATAACGCAGGATGGGGCTATTGCGTCAAGTGCAGCCAAATGCGCTTCACTTGGCCTGCCGCTCAGGAGCAGTGGAAACGCCAGTTGGACGAGGTGCTTGCCTCAGCCGTGATTCAGACGGAAGCTCGGATGGAATGTAGTTTGTGACGAGGCAGGCTATTTCGGCGCATCCGCAGAGTTGTTTTCCATCATGGATCAGCCTAATGCCGGCTCAATTTCTTATGATCAGTGCCGAGCTCGCAATGTATTGCAGGCCACTGCCAAAGCTCTTACTCGTTGCCAAGGTTCCGCCGCTTTTTCTCCGGACGCTCAACGCGTGATGGTTGTGCAAAAAGCTGAGCTGACACTACCCAGAAATTCAAGCAAGTTTGAATTCCTGGTTTGCTGTTCGGCTGGGCGCAAAGCCACAGTCTAGGGACAGAGCAGAATTAGGAGCCTTGCATCTAGCTGTTCTCGTATGAGGCAGATGACAAGTCAAGGCGAGTGGCAAGTTCTTGTTCCAAAGCGCTAGCCTCAGCTGGCGTCCATTGAATGGAGGGCTCAAGCTGATGTGGCACCTGTACAGCCAAAAAGGCCATCCGAGTGCCTAGCCCGAGATGCGTTGTGTTGGTGCCTGTGACCGGTGATTTGGGGATTGGGGTTGTCTCTCTTTAAGAAAGCTGTGTTATGGCCGTTTTGCAGGGAAACCTAAAGGAAACGCCATCCTTGGAGGGTTCCCTCAAACCAAATTGACAGGCCTTGGCTCAAAGAGCGCGGGGGGAGAGAGCACCAGCTTCGAGGATCCACAGCCACAGCCACCACCCAGACCTCATAGGGTTCATGCTCATTTTTGGGCCTGCCAAAGGCGCTGCCAAAATCAGTGCCTTTGCGCTGCCTCATGGGTGCAGAGGCTGGATAGCTCTTGTCTCCGGAAGTGCCTCATACGGCAAGTACTGATC